GGACTCTAGTGTTAGCTAAACACGACCGACTCAATCCCAAATCTCCATGTCCTCCTTCGCTGCTCTTCACTCTTCACTGTTGGACACATGTCCAAAACCGTCTAAACATTTCCTCTGTGTAAATTGGGTTAAATATGTGTTAGACCGCAGGTTCACTAGGTGGCGCAATAATCTCAGTTCTTACCTGTTGGGTGCTAAAGAGAGACTCAGACCATTAATGCTGCGCTCTGTGTCCTGTGAGTTAGTACAGAACTGGTGACCAGGAGGACGTTACAGCTGATGCCTCGTAGAAACACAGGCGGACGCTCCGGTGTTGGCATAACGAACCCGACTTTTCTCCAGAGCGAGATCATGGCGGCGGCTGTGGTAGAAAGCACTGCTCCTCTTTGATTACCAAACCCAGACGTGGGAGGAAGATTGTGAAGTGCTCCACCTTTTTTTTTTTATAAACTAATGAGATTGACGATGCAAGTCGACAGAAAACTATATTGCTCAGTGCAGTGGGCAGCCAAACGTACAGCCCACCAAGCCAGGGGACAAGACATCTGATGAACGTGTCAAGTCATTAAAAAACCATTTAAACCCAAAACCTACCGAGATGGTGCAGCCTTTCAGGTTTAATTTGAGACACAGGAGTCCTGCAGAAACAGTTGTGGAATATGTTGCTGTGCTGAGGAAATGAACACCAGACTGAAACTACGGACACCAGTTATCAGAGATTTGACCTTTGACCCTGCACTGAAGTTGGCCCAGGGCCAGGCTTGTGCAAAATCGTATTGTGTGCGATTAAGCGTCAGAAAAACTCTGGGGAATAATGACCACTTTAGGGTTGAAGAACATTATACCTCATATTTAGAAACAAAAATAAGCATCCGTTCCTGAGCTGCCACTGAAAACAGCCCGTTGATCAGATCTTAGAACCTATTAGAATAAGAAGTTAGTTTGACTGCTGATTTGTATTATATTAGTACAACTAAACTCAAGTGCAACTGTGATCTACTAATCAGCAAACTGCCAGAAATAATCAGATTTTTTTTTGGCAATATTGCCCAACCCTACAAATTCAGTGTTCGTATTCGTATTTTTTCAAAACATTTTTAGGTATTTACAGTAAATATATCTCCCCAAAAACATTAAACATTTTACAGTCATCCTGGGACATGAGCTTCAATTCAAATGTGGTTTTAGCCCTGTCCCTGGAAGCTGTCAGAAGTGGGTCCTCCTGCCAGTAGCCGGGGGACAAGCACTCTGCTCCGTTGGGACAGGTCCAGAGTAAAACACTGCTGTCGGTGAGTAATCAGTAGCAATTTGCAACCTGGGTGTTTTCTTTTAGAAAGAAAATTGCTGTAAAAAAAAAAGATAAAAAACCTGCCTCGTACTTTTGCCCAGTACTTTCCTGGGTTTGATTGTATATTTTATATTTCTAGTGCAAATGTCGCAGCCACTCAAAGCAGAACATGAACGTTCAGAACAAAGTTCAGGCAGAGTTACAGAAACGTAAGACTTTCTTAAAATTCAGGTAGAACAGACCAGGATCAATAAGACAGAGAGAAAGAACTGGAGACTAGAAGGCAGTCAAAAAAAAGCCAACTGTTGCACGAGAGAGAGACAGTTATTAGTCGATCAGTGAGAAATTAACAGGACACAGGATGGTGAGGTGAGACAGTAACTGTGGATGGAAACACCAGGGGCAGAAACAGGACGGTAGTTAGTGTAGAGTGGACACAGCAGGGTAAAGAGTGCAGCACCTGGGAGACACACAGGAGGAGAGAAGGCCAACTGGAAAAACAACATAAATTTAAATTTTAAAATTAGCATAAATCTCATGCTTAGAAAAAAAAAATTGCATGTTTGCAGTGAAGGAAAAAAAATAAGAGCAGTGGAAGAATAACCAGGATTAGTTAAATATCCAGACGAGACAGAAACAGACTTTTTTTCAGCACCAACTGTTTAACAAAGGCCAAATTATGCAACCCTCAAATCATTTTCCACATTGCCAGTGTATGTGTGAACATATGCAGTACTTTGCAGTAATAGGTATGCAAATTGATCTAATAAGTGGTGACATTATTTTTTCCAGCTTTTCAAAATAAAATATAATGAAATAATTACACTAAGGTCAAATGAGCAGAGTGGAAATGGATCCAAACGCCTCACTGTGTTGGTGTGGAAGCTTCTGTCACTGCTGTACTATATTTAGGTCTGTCTCGCTCGCTCGCTCTCTCGCTCGCTCTCTCTCTCTAACATATGCACATGCATTTACATTCACACCCTATAGACCTGCTGCCTCCAGACACCTTATAACTCCTAAAGTACATTCATTTGGTGAAACTACCCACACGTACTGCAGGTCCTGTCGCAGTGGTGTGAAAAATACAAAATATTTGGTCCTCGTTGTAGATGCAGATGAGTGAATGAGGCTAAATATATAGTAAATATATAGTAAGTCATTTTATAATCATTTTTTGCCCCATACCATGTTCTGCAGACGTCTTTAAATAACAATGGCCTATGTAGAAAGAAGTTTGACCCGTGTGTGTGTGTGTGTGTGTGTGCACGAGAACTTGTTTTTGTTCGATACAGTGAAAAGAAGAAGCTCACATTGGTTTGTAAAATAATCATAATGAAGGAGTTGCTGCAGCAGCGTTCTGTCCCAGACAGATTTCTTCGGCTTGTGTTTCGGTGTTTTCAGAGTGTTTGTCCTCTGGTCCTGAGAGCGTTGAGGGTGAAGATGACAGTGCTGTCATCCCTACAGGCGTGCAGCCTGTCAGACAGGCAGACTGTTAGTGCAGCCTAGTGGCAAAGCGACGGAGTCTCACACGTGTACACACACACACACGCACACACACACACAATTCACTTAGGCAAAATAGATGCACAGCGTAACAAAAATGTGAAACAAAACCCTCCGCATCGCTGTTTAAAAATCTGTGTCATGCCTCGATTCAGCTCTTGTCTGAACATCGCATGTGAGCACAAGGCTCCTCTATACATCCTGTGGATGCAGCATTATAAACTCACAAAGCTGCCCCTGTGTTTCTCTGCTTGAGGATAGAAGGGAGTGGAGGAGCGGGCTTGGCAGGCACAGGACTGCCTGGATTTGGCCTGGATAGAACGACAAACCCATCGTTTCCTTCACTTAGCGTGACGAAACCATGTCCTCTGCCTTCACAGCTTATTATATTGGATAATATTTTGAAAGACATGTTAACTCCTTTCAAAACTAATGAAGTCACAGAGACTACTACTAACAGTGTTTGCTGCCATGTCTGGGACACAGTGCAGATAGACATCTGAGCATAGAACTGTTTTCTAAATACATCGTAGCTAAGTTGGGACACACACTCAGGATCAAAATAAGATTTAACATAACACCTGGTGATCACCAGCACTCACGACAAACAGCTTTATTTTTCAAAACAAAACTTGCCATCTGCATTCAACCCATCCGTGTAACGGGGCAGTGAGTGACACCTTAATGCCCGAGAGAGGCACACAACCCGGACCAGACCCAAATCCCCATTCTTCATGGGAAAAATGGACAGAGCGATGGAGAGACAGATTGAGGCAGCGCCTGCAGCGTCGTTGTCGTGGTGCTGTACAGGTCCGGGTTGGTCAAGAGAGAGCTGAGCCTGAAATCAGGGCATTTGATTCACCAGTCTATTTAATTTACAACCTCACTTGTGGTCACAGGCTGTGGGTCAGAATTAGGAAGATTAAATACCAAATACCCCCTTGGCCATGGATATGCTGCGTGGCAGGTTTAACCTTAGCGTGAGGAGATCAGAAATCCAGACGACACTGACAAGAACACCGGGTGAGGATGCCCCCCAGAGGCCTTTCTCAAGAGTGGTTTCAGGCATCGGGGGAGAGGCCCTCCAGCACATGCCGGCCGAATTACACCCCCCACCCAGACTGAGGAACACAGTGGCGTTTACGCAGAGGAGTCGTTGGATGTTGTTTGTTCTGCTTGAGGATGCTGCTTGGACAGTATAAGCTTTTGTGAAACGTGCAATTGTCAAAACCAATTTATATATATAATCTGTAAGTTATTTCTTCTGGTATTTTTACCTCAGGGGTCGTCCAGGCATCAATTTTACGTCTGCCTTACTCTAGCTGTGGCTTATTTTACTGTTACACCAACAATTTCCACTCCTCTTTTATTACTATTTTTCGGGGCGGCCCTTCTTTGCTGCCTGGCGGCTCTATCTTCAACAACTTTTCTGCAAAAGATATTTACTCTTACTTCCTGTCAACACACACACAGAGAATAATGTTTTGCATTTATTAGTCAATCATTAATCACTTTTTTTTTCTTGTGACTCCGACCACTCAAAAAGATTAACACAAAATTAACCAGAGAATAATGTTTACATTATGTGTTTTGCATTTAGTAGTCAATCATTAATTACTTTTTTTTCTTGTGACTCCGATCACTCAAAAAGATTAACACAAAATTAACATTTCACTATTACTGTGAGTAAATCCCATTTTAACATTTAAGATCACAGAATTTGGCCATTTTAAAAGCTAAAAATGTCTGGAACCAGAGTCATTTTAGTTGGTCTGCTTGGTAATCTGTGGCATCCATTAACAGAAAATATGAAACAGTTTTTAATATCACAACAAAAAAAGAAAAAAAAGAATTCAATCTGAAAACAAATCTGATTAAATCAGACATGGGAAAGGTTTAAACATGTGTGCAATTGATGTTTACTTTTTTCTTCTTTGTACCAGAGTTTCCCTCATTGGTTTATTGCTCTTCTGGTTTCACTGTTATTTCATTCAGTGTTTTAATCCAATGTCTTCAAACTAAGAAAAACAAAGAACCTTCTGCCTCATTAAGGTCATTGATGGTCAGGGATTATATTGGGTTTCACAAAGTCAGCGTGTATAAAGAGAGAAAACCAAACTGCTGTACATCAACAGACTGTAGACTAAACGTAATCCATCTATTTCTACTGTAATCTTACAATTATGACGTTTTTTTGACTGGACAGGTGAGTGTTCAAGTTCAACACCTGGTTCACACTCGGAGTGGAGAAGCTACGGTACAGTGTGCCATTCCCCTGACCGTCTGACCCACAGATATGACCGTAGGAAGTGAGAGTCAACTCGGCAGGTGAGACAACGTGAGACAACGTCTGGAATTTGGTGTCAGCCGCTGCGTTGTTATTTGCTGCTGATGCTCAGCTGTGCATGTTCCTCCCCCTTTCTGCGGGTGCCTGCTGGAAGTGAAGTGAACGCATGAATGTGTGACTGCGTGTGAGGGAGACACAAGTGAACCACAGAACCACAGAGGCAGAGAGGCAGAGAGCTCTCCTCAACACAACACTCCAATGAGCCCGCAGCCTTCACACGCGCGCACACAAACTCCTCACCCACAACACCAGCTCTCCATTCAGCTGTCGGACACAGAGGAAGGAGCAGGAGAGGAGAGAAAGACAGACACGCAGCGAGAGGGAGAGTGAGGGTGAGGGAGTTAGAGAGGAGAGGAGAGGAGAGGAGAGGGAATCACTTCGGCTGTTAGAGAGGACAGCATGGCTTCAGATTCGGGACTGGCTGCGATGCTTCTGTGGACTATATCACTACAGGGTATTGGCACGGCGCGAGGCAGCAGCAACGAAGGTAAGTGGGCTCCTCTGAACAGACGACGTTAAATAATGTAGAACACGGTGACGGCAAAAAAAAAAAAAAAAAAAAATCACTTCGTACATGTCGCACGAAATAAACACACACACACACACAAAATAAACATACTCTCAAAGTCAGTGTGCTAAATTGTTAGCATGACAACAAAGTTTTTTTGTGTACTTGTCGTCGTCCATATTTACCCTCAACCCGCCACTAAAGTGCGAACAATGTTTGTGTCAGAACACATATTCATATGATGGAGAATGGTTGTCACTTGTTCTCATAACGCACCTAGAAAAGGTAAAGTCTCCTGAACGGTCCGTAAATGTCAGAATGTCTGTGGACCTGGAGTCAGGAGATGAGGTGACAGTAACGGTTGGAAGACTTTTTAAATTCTGCTCTCCCAACAAGAATGTATGACTCCAGAGACAAAAGAGAAAAACATCAGGGAAGATAGAGACAAAAAGAGAGAGAGAGAGACAGACAGACAGGCTGACAGACAGATAGACAGATGGAGAAGAAGAGTCTCCTGGTTCAGCTGGGATCAACTCAGCAATGGAGAGATGAGGACAAACATTTATCTTGTGTTAAGCTCTGTCAAGTCGGGGCAGAGAGCCTGACTGTTTTGGGTTTTCCAGAGTGACAGACAGATCTGACAGACAGACAGACTGGTAGACAGATGCTCTGTTTGATTTAGCGATGCTGTTTTGTGTCTGGATTGGCAACATTCTCGGACATATCTGTGTCACATACACTGTAAGAGTGGTTTGTGTTTTTACCTTGGAGCTTTTCTGATGCTACACTCAGCCACGGACTCTCCAGGTCGTTTCTCCATTCTCCTTCATCTTCACTGTTAACCAGTGTTAAACTCCATCACAGATTCGTCCAGGCACCTTTGCACCATCGACCATCTTCTCCTCACACACAGCTAACGTTAGGTTCCTAATCCTAAACCTTGGAGACCAGCTCAGAGTCTCTGAGGTGCAAATATATATGATATAAGTCGGACATTTTTTTTTAAATGAATACATTTTGCATGCCTTTTTTTATGTTGTGAATGATGTAATGTTTCGGCTGCACGCGGACTTATACAAACTACACTCCAAACCATGAAAAATCTATTTAGTTCTAACAGAACAAAATGTTGCCTTTCAGTGTTGTTTTGATTCTGTTTACATCCAAATAGCTGACAGGATGGTTGTGTTATGTGATGATTGTTGTCTGAAAAAACACAGAGCTGTGGAAATATGTTCGAAAGAAATGTTTCCTAAATATTGAGATTTGGGTAATATAGTTATTAGAATATAATTTCAACATGACTTTATTTACTATTCATATAAATCTACATATTACTGTGGTTGAAATAGAATTAGATAGAATTATATATAGAATTATGAGAGAGTGCAGCAATGGTCTACAGTGTAATGTAGAAATAGAACTTTGCAGGAATTCTTAGGATTCACTGATGCAGCAGCTCTGTTTATATATATATATTATATCTTTAACTTCATATTATTCCCTAAAATTTCCGTTTAAAAACGGTTATTGTAATATTTTTACATCTACTCAATATATATGTACTACTCAAACATTCATACTACCAATAAAAAGAAAGTACATCTAAATGAGTAGTAAATAATCTTTTTACAAGTACTGTCTCTCACACTATTTGAAATGTATACAAATAGAAAAGTGGATGATTGATCACACAGACAGGCACACACACCAAAACACACTTATAATGATAAATTATTTCTGTAAGAGTAAATATTTACTCTGTTACCAGGACTCACCAACAGCAGTTCTGTTTGTCTGCATTAGGTCAGACTTCAGTCGTTCTCTTATTACTGTACAAGTTCATTTTAACTTCATTTTAATTTAGGTTTTTGTTTTGGACAAAAACCAGCATTAGGTTGCGTGTGTATGTATCGGTAAGAGAGAGAATACGAGCATGAAAAGTAAGAAGCAGAGTGATAATAACAAATAAGAAAAGTCGTGGGCGAACCAACAGTGAATGTACACATTCCCGCGGCTACGTTTACGCATATACAGTCTTTGTTTCTATATGTGGTTGGAACGCCTTATATTATTATTATTATTTTGTTTTGTTTTTTGATTTGAATTGTCAACACAAAGGTCTATTTTATTTTTATTAATAAATATAATAATATAAGTTATTTTAATGTTATAAATTGACCTCACATTTTTCTAGTCCATAAAAATAATTGTACATCACAATTGCTTTAAACATCCTACCTATATATATATATATTTTTACCAATGTTGTCATTTGGTGGCAATAAAACTATATTGTGATTAGAAAAACACAAAGAAAACTTGAATAAATAAATGGACTAGTGATGGAGGGCAATCTACTCGATAAACATCTGGTTTGCACTGCTTTCTGTATTATTTATATACATCCACTGGACGCAGCCATTTTATTTAGAAATGTCATCCAGATCATCCTCATTGTGCACTTTTGCCATGATAATCATTGTTTGCCTGTAGTCAAAAGTATTTTTTAATTATATTATTATTGACTAGAGGCTTAGTTCCTACCAGGCCATGACTCACACACACAAACACACACACACACACACTTGGATTTAGCAGACGCTGTCATCCAACGTATACTAAAGAGAAACACAATTTGCTTCCTGTAAACTCCCTAAAAATGTCAACATGAAACATTAGCATAACTGAGTCTATCTTTAACTTCTATCTACAGAAATCTACGACGATATTCAATGAGACGACAGTGTATGTTTTTTTACTTTCTGTGTCCTATAAACTGGAGAAATAACTGCATCATGAGTAGGTGAAACTGCAAGCATCATTTTCTGAATCTGCCCACAGAAACCCTAAAAGAACAGTCCTGCTGTATTTTCGACGGTGACGTCTGTGTTTCTGCCTGTCTGTCTGTCTGTGTCAGGGGGCATTCTTTAAAGTTGTTGTTAGTTCTGAGGAACATGAGAAGAGCAACACAGAAAGCGTCGTCGGGCCGTTGGGCCTAATTAGTTTGCTGTAGGTGGATGATAATTACACCATACTGCCACTGCTCCAGGATGACCACTGGGAAATAGAGCAAAGCAGCGGAATTTAAAAATAATATTAATCATCATCTTTATTACAGCATTATGTCAGTGTCACAAAATCTAATTTTGAAGCTACAAGCTCACAGAAAACAGGAAATGAAGGACGACGTAGAATAGCCAGAATAGCCTTGTCGCTAAGCTGTTGTATTTAATTATTGTTTAAAAAGAGAAAAATAAATAGAACTAGAAATAAATAAGTAGAAAAACAAAACAAAGCACCTGATCACGACAAGGGAACATGGCTGTGGTTTTGATCACTGCTACACTAGACCCAGATTCTCTCATTGGTATTGATCTTTCCACATTTCACAGAGTACGAACAATGGAGCCATTTTTAAAACAGTAATAGAAATTCACATTGATATTGTACAGTTTTACATAACGCTTAAGGTGTTGCTGTCTGTTGCTTGAACAGCCTGACAAAGTGGGAGGTTTTCCTTTGTTCTGCTTTTATTTCAGCCTTTATTGACCGTAGCTTTTTTTCAAACCCTTGCCACAGCAGTGTTGCTGTCTTTTCCATCAAAAATAGATCACCATTCCCATCAATCAGTCTTTCTGTGTGTGTGTTTTCTTACACACACCTTTGCTTCCTGGGTCTCTTTCTGGGAATGAGTGAATGGGAGTTATTGCGCTCACAGAAAGCTTGTACTGAAGAGTTTCACCTTGAGCCATGGGTCCATCGTTGAGGTGTTCAAAATATTAATTACAACAACAGAAAATGACGGTCAGAAGCGTCTCTCACTTTGTTGCTAAACACGAAAAAAGCGTCTCTCACTTTGTTGCTAAACACTGTTCCTAACTCCAGGTATCTTCTTTTTTTAACTTGAATTATTCTGACACTGGTCAGTTTTACTGTTGGGCCATTTTCAGTGAGTGTAGGGATGTATGTAAGTCTACAGCTGACAATGTAAAAGACACAATGTCAAGTTTATTGTGGGGGACGGTAGAACGTTTAATATTGATGAGGACAAAAGATCCACTGAAGACAGAACCTCAGAAAAGACGCCCAATAATGACTAGACCCACCTGATATACTGTATAAAGAAACAATTCAAGTTTCGCACATTTTCTCCCCATTTTTCTATATGCATTGTTTGAATTAGTGACAAACAAGAAAAACATGTTTGTAATATTTAGGAATGTTGATTTATCCTGATTAGTTGAGATACATCGTCATGATTCATCGTGATTATGTCACTGCTTCCTTTTAATTGATTCAATCCATTTCAATCCTTTGACTGCACTAATATTTATGTATTCGTCTACATTAGGCAGTATTTTGCAGTTAGTACCAGAGATGCGCAATATTTTTCTATACTTTATATTTGCTTTACTGTTCATCACATAATTTTATTTTGATATTTTTATTTGTTTCAACTTAAGGGCTGTACTGTGAAAGAATTGTCCTTGGCACAAAAGTTGTGTTGGGCTGTTCTGCTGACGGAGAATTATCTCTAAGACGGATGAGGATGAAGAGGAAATGTGAGAGGGACAGAAACCTTCTGAGAAGAGTTTTCTCTGATATTATTGTCCCATGGACTGATATATATGTGGCTCTGCCACGTTGGACCTTTTCTCCTAAATTAGAGGCCGAGAGACAGAAACACAGCATCCATTAGAAACAACAGACAGCTTGTGTGATGGAGAGATAGATGGGTACAGAGCGAGGGAGAAGAAACATGGGGAGCGTGAGTCGGTCACAGTGAAAGAACAAGGAGAGACGAACAGAGGGAAGAAGGGTTGGCCTGCTGTCTCTGTCGGTGGGCGTCTTTATCAGCACAGACAAGAGCATCGAGCTCATCATTTGTCACTTTCAATTCCTGTCATTCTATTAGGGGATTTAAATGTTCATCAGGTGTAACTGAAGCCTAGTAAAGGCCTAATATGCTCTGATAG